ATTGAATTTTATTATATATTCTCCTCTAATTTTTTAAAAAATAGTCCATCTATTGTTTAATAAGATAAACATTATATATATAATCTTAAAATTATTTAATATTTTAATTTATTAATTAAAATAATTTACAAGTATAAAAAAAAAGATTTAGAATTATTCATTTGTATTTAGTGTGATAGTCATATATTTATTATTTAAGACCGACGTGGTTTTGGCACCAAATACAAAGATGCAAATACAGTTTTCGATCTTGAAATGTAGATACAATATTTATCGTCACTTATTTATTTATTGCTACTCTTTATTTATTATTTTTTGTTTGAATATTGTTTTTATTCATTCAGTTAAAATATTTTACATAAAATGTATTTTAAAAAAGAGTGAACATATTATATTATAATTCATATAGTAGTTCTAGTAACTGGAGCATTATAGTATTGTATTTATTCCCCTCAGCCCTTACTCTGATTTTGAGTAGGTCTCATTAAATGCTTTAGCTTTACTTTTTCACTTTGTTTGATTTTTACAAAAATAGAAAAGAACAAATTGTAGAAGAGAAATAATTAGACAAAAAATAATAAATTTTTAAGTTATTTGATATAAAAAAATGAAGAGGTAAAAAAAAATGAACAGCCCCTAAGTTATATACTATAATAATAAATAGAAAGAAGGGTAACAGTGAATAGTAAAAAAAAAAACTCACGCAGTTGTTTTCTTCTCTCTTAACCAAATATATGTAAGCACCTGTTCTGTTTTTCCAGTTTTTTCTTTTATTTTCTTTCACTTTTCATGGATACCAAACATAACATGTGAAGTTGTATAAAATTTTACTCGATAATAAAAAAACTATTAAAAAATAGTATAAATAATATAATGCATTCCCAATATGTTTCACGTGTGTATAAGTGAAAGACAAAGAAAAAGAGGGGATTGTAGTATTGCAATATATATGGGTCCAATTATTACAATTGTTTGATACATCATTGTTGTGTCTTCTTGACAATGTCTTAAAAATCAAATTGAGTCACCAAATTGAAGAAAATATTACTTCAGCTTTTACTGGTAAGTTGAAAGGCATCGATCAAGCCATATAATCTTGAAAAAGAAAAAGAAATAATTAATTAATGATTTAGTAAATATCGAATGAAGTAAAACAAAGTATTATATATGGTGTAGTGTCACATTTGATAAGAAATAAATGGTCGTAACAATAACATATATAAAAATTATTAGAATAATGAGTTATCTCATTCTTTTAAACAAATGATATACATAAGCATAAGTTGCAAATGCGTCGAATAGAATCAAATTTGGTTTAACTTTAGTCAATTTGACAAAAATTGTTCAAACTTGAAACTCATGCTCGAGTGATATGAAATTTTTTAACCCAAACTCAAAATAATTCAAGCTCATGAATAATTCAGTTCAATTTGTTAATTCGAATTGCATGAATTAATACTCAAAATAATTTAAATTTAGAACAATTTAAATTCACCATCTACTAATAGTTTTTAGACAAAAAAAATAGTAATTATACGATGTAAAACATAAAAGTAAATATAATATGATTTAAAATACTGTATAATTTTATTTATTCCAATTAAAAAAACTGAATTCTATATAATAATATTGTGATAAGAATCACACGAGCTAATATATGAACCGGACGAGATAAATCATATATTCCTCAAGATAACTCATTTATTTAATAAGCTCAAATTTTAGCTAAAATATTCATAAATCAAGTTCAATTAATTAATTAATTAATAAAATCTCAAAGACTGAAACTAATTTTGAGTTCATTGAATTCATTATAGATAAAAACTCTTACACCAGATTTGTACTTTACATTTAAATTTTCTAACTATTTTGTTTTCCTTAATCCTTACTTATATTGGCCATTGAATGGCCTAACAGGCATACCGAATTTGTGCCAACTGGAATTGACTAAACACTGTAACATGAAACCAAATAGAAGAAAAAAACCAGAAAAGGAAGTTTTTGGTATCTTTGAATTTTAAGATGTTTCGACTGTGAAAGAAATGGACGAAAGTGAGGCAGACCCACGTCCAGTTTTCTTGGTTTGACTGAAGCTTGGGTCAATCTTCTGATCATAGCCCTAATTGCTTGTTTTCTATTCTATCCGTGACTCTACACATTATGATCATTTTTTTATTTTGGTAAAATGTTCAACGGCTATAAGGCTAATAACTTAATCAGACAATAATCAAACCTCTAACTAAAGCTCCAATTTAATCAATTTTGGTAGGGTTGTCATTAATTGGATTTTGAATCTGATGTGTTACTTGTACTTATTCAAACAGTATAATCACATTAATTCACAAAATCCTAGCAGTTCCTCATTTGTTGTTTTCTTTTTCATTCTTTTATTAGTCTATAAGATTAACTTTTTCCCTAATATTAAAATGTGGAACCCCAAAACAAACAATGATATTTGATACCTTGTTTTTATATTTACATTTTTAGTATAAACTTAATTGGAACAAGTGTGCGTCTCTTGGATTTGCTGTTGAAAGCCTCTAAATCAAGATTTGCACGTATTTAGCATATTCTTGCTTTTTTTTACTTTTACCATATCAAAAATGACTTTAAAGTATACGGACATGCTTAATTAATCCAATAAAATATTTATATTTATCAATAATTACAGAAAATTTCTTTTTTATTTTATTATTTTTAATAATTTATGAAAAATTATAAAACAATAAAATTTTAATTTTAATCTTATAAAAAATAAAATGACATATTTATAACTACAAATAAAATACAAAAATATATATTTTTTCTTAAGATAAAAAAGTTATATTATTCATACACAACTTTTTTATAACATTATTTTTTCATTATCTCTCTCCATTACATTAAATACTTTATCTCACAATCTCCCTTTTCTCTTCACATCTCTCTTTATAATATAAAAAATGTACAAACATAATCTTATAATAAAATACCTAACTATTTGATAAAATATCTATGTCAATTGTAAGTAGTTTTATAACTTTAGATATGAGGAAAGAAAAAGATGGAACAGGTGCAAGAGTAGTCTTCATCGTGAGGTGCCAACATGTGGAGCAACTATACCTATTGCCACTGTTTGGCACATATGTATCCACTGCTGACAGAATTGATGTATGACATTCTGATCCTAAAGGGTGTCGTGGGAACAACTGAAAGATTATCTGTCCAATACACCTAGACTTAGGAGTATTAGATATGTTGCATATTCTACAGCCAATTATGTTCCCTTCATAACGCAAACCTCCAACCTTGGAGTACTTGTTGCTTAACATTGTTGGTTTTGCACTATAGCATCTGGGTTCACACGATCACAGCATGTCAAGTAAAAGGAAATGATGTTCTAACCTGTTCATGTCTTTGTTATTAAGCTTATTCCAGTCTGTCAATGTGCCACTCAGTGTATTGTTAAAGTAATTTCAAATTCAAGCAACCTTATTATTTTAACTATTAAAGTACCGTTTATGTTTAATTTGCAGCATTATTGGAGATGGCTTACATGGGATTCACACATAAACAACGGTTCTCCAGATATGTAGTAGATGTTTATCAATAAAAGTGGGTCAACTTGTGGGATAAATAAATAAATGTTGATGAGGTACAGAAATATAAAGTAATTAGAAAAAAGTCCATTGGTAAAACTACATCTATATATATTACAGAAGAAAATTGCTTAAACTACACGGCGTGAAAAGGTTTTTTTATGGTGGTGTGTCCACAATAGAATTAAGAATAGAGTTAAACAACTATGCTAAATTATACTATTAAAGATGCTCTAATGTAAATTGTTATATAATATTGCACTTCTTTTAGTAAACTATTGCATCTTATTTAATCACTCATACGATTTGTTATTTTTTAAACAATCAGTTGATAACCAAACAATTAGCTCATAAATTTAACAAATAACTTCACAAATCTTGAAGATGGACATCAATGCAAGGAAAAGTAGAATAATCCGATTATTTAAATATAAAATAATTAAAAGCCGTTCCTCTTTAATCCCAAAAATATAAATGATGAGGGATAAAAATTAAAAGAAGTAAATAGTTCTGACTATAACGGAAAGAAATGATTGTAATTAAATGAATGCAAAAATTATGGAGAAAATTTGATCTAAATGTATCAGCAATTATGTTTTACAAAAATATAAGGAAAGAACTATTAGGCATGATGCCCAATATTTTTAGGTACATATCATAACATCATGACATGATACTACTCATTATGAAAAAATAATCCGAATCTCCTAGAAAAGTAAAAAATAAAAAAATAAAATAACTGAGACAGCTTTTGAGGAGAATAATAGCAGATGTGTTTTTATCATGTGGGGGCAAGTTAAAGTGGTTATGTTACACTGATGCTTGCACAATGTTTTTGTTCGTGCAAAACAACAAAGCACACATAACATAACTGATAACTTCACGCCGCAACACACCCATTTTCACCTTTTGCACTGTCTTTCATCTCATCGGAGAGAATAGGGTGGCGCATGCACACACACTCACTTGTGTTGGACACAAAAGCCAACCCATTTATCAACTTTTTCTCACTATAAATGTATGCACTCTATCACACGTTACATGATACATACACAGACACATAAGCCTCCAACACAAACCTCTGACTCACACGTAGTAGAGCTCCACCCTCAGCTCAAATCTCAATGGCCTTTCCCAGGCACTGAAAAGGAAGTAAGGGTAGGTACTCATTCTTTTAACTTGCACTCTTTGTTTTTGTTTTGGGTGTGTGTTATGTATGTTAGTCTTCTCTGACTCAGAGAGACACTCAGAGAGACACTCAAAGAGAGAATCAAATTTCCAAACTTTGGAATTTTAAAAAAAATGAAAAAAGAAATGATTTTTAATGCGTTTGATCTCACAAATCGCCTTGAAACATGTCCTTTTACATCTATGCATAGGCCAAAGCCTTCCACTTCTATACTCTCTCTCTCTCTTTCTCTCTCTCTCTCCCTCGCTCTCGTGGGAGTGTTGAGAAATGTTATGATTTTGGTCTTCATTCTTAATGGGAACACACTCTCTATTTGACTTTGGTTTGTGGGTGTTGAGAGAGTAGCACATTCAATGGAGCTTTTTGTTGGGTGGAAATGGATTGAGTTGACCTCAGATCTTCAATTTGTTTGATTGTTGCAAAGTGTCATTCTTTTTTCTGATTAATATCTTGGATTGGTAGTGTAGCTTCAACTTGGTTATCAATCATTTGTCATTTAGAGGAATCAGGTGAGTAGAATCAGAAATGTTGACTTGCATAGCGTGTACAAAGCAGCTCAATAATGGATCTCTTCGCCAAGAAGAAGAGGAAGAAGCAGTGCACACACCCAGCACCAAGCAAGCCATCAAGGCTCTCACTGCTCAGGTAAATTGGCCATGCCTTATATATACCTGATTTGACTCATTACTAAATCTTGAAACACAAGTCCAGAATCCACCTCTTCAATCATGGAATAAAAAGATTCAAATTTTTTTTTTGGTCTTTTCATGATTTTCTTCACTAAGGTGTGACAAAGGGGTACCCGGTTTTGTTTTTCAGATCAAGGACATGGCAGTGAAGGCTTCTGGGGCCTATAAGAGTTGCAAGCCTTGTTCAGGGTCTTCAAATGGTAACAGGAATAGAAAGTATGCAGATTCTGATATGGCATCAGATTCAGCAAGGTTCAACTGGGCCTACCGCAGAACTGGGAGCTCCAATTCAACCCCAAGGATGTGGGGGAAGGAAATGGAAGGTAAAGTGAAAGGGCTTTCCAGTGGTGAAGGAACACCAGCATCAGTGAGTGGAAGAACTGAGTCAGTGGTGTTCATGGAGGAGGATGAGCCTAAGGAATGGATTGCACAAGTGGAGCCTGGTGTGCTTATTACTTTTGTTTCATTGCCTCAGGGTGGGAATGATCTGAAGAGAATACGGTTCAGGTACTACTACTCTTCTATCTTGCGTGTTTTGGAATTGTACAATGTTCCAATTTGTTGGAGTGAAAGCACATGCCTTGTCATGTTTTAGATGCAACTTGCTTTTTAACCAATGTGACCTTGTCCTTTGTGGTTTAAACTTTCTCTTCTTCTCTGATCTGGCATATTAAGTACATGTTTGTTTGAGAGTGATCAAATGCTTTTCAAAGGCTCATCAGATTCTAGGCTACCAGGATCTATATTGTCTCTATTGTGCCTCTTTGAGGACCTTAGCTTTGTTCCTTTGTCAGTAACTCATGCTTGGCTTGGAAGTAGTAGAGAGGGACAAAAGCAAAAAGTATTTTTATCTTCTAGCTTGATCATTCAAATTCATTCCCTCCTCTCAGCCCACAAAAAGAAAAAGAAAAAAGAAAAGGAAGCTATGCAAAAGAAAAAGGCCAGGCTTGGTTTTGTGGCAGAGTAACATTCATTTTATGGAATAAAAGCAATTTTGTCAACAAAAAACCCATCTCTTCTGAATAGGGAAAAAAAATTAAATACAATTATTATAAAGGGGTATTAGAAGGGTCTATTCAATCATTAATAGTTCATGAATCATGAATACAAGTCCTTTTTATTGGGAAAGTGTCCTTTGGGTTTTTGTCATGAGACTTAACTTCAGGCTCATCTGTCTTTTATGAAAGTTTTGGCTTTCTATTAAGCTAGTCTCAGAACTGAATTGGAAACAAGCAATAAGATCTTGAATCTTAAAGCAGTTAAGGGCTGTGGAAATTCAAATTAAAACAATATGAAGGTTGTGGGAATTTAACTTTTTTCTTCTAAAATTCATCTACCTTTTATTTTCTTAGTGGTAACCACCTGAAGCAATTTTCTTATGCCTGTTGGAATCACTATTGAAACAGCACCCTTGCTGTTTATGAACAACAACTGGGGATCCAAATCTCATATTGCATTTGTTATTATGGCTAAAACATCAATGGGTTCACCAATTAATGATTTCTGTACCCCTACTGGAGCACAAGCAGCTCTTCATTGTTTTGTGTTGTGGGGGGGGGGGGGTGGGGAGCGTCTTTGAAAATATTTGAAAAATATACATTATTTTAACCAGCAAGTATTTTCTGTCTTTCCTTGAAATCTTGAATGCATTCATATCTAGTCCCAAAAAGTAGCAATTGGAGTTCCATGTTTACATTTTTGTGTCAATCAATAGTACAGCCTGAAAATTTTCTAATGAAGGGAAATGTACTAGTGTGTGATGTCACTTTCCTTTTCTTTTCTTTATCCCGTTGGTGATTGTACTGAATATTTTATTTTATATTTGATCAGTCGTGAAATGTTTAATAAATGGCAAGCACAGAGGTGGTGGGCAGAGAATTATGACAAAGTCATGGAATTGTACAATGTTCAAAGGTTCAATCAGCAAGCAGTTCCTCTTCCAACACCCCCTAGATCTGAAGATGAGGTGAGCATACATCTTTTTTGTCATTTGATGTTAAAGAATTGCATGATTAAACTTTTCTCTACAGATTCATCCAGCATATCTATTAATATGTTATCCTTAGCAATCAATCACAAATTCCTTCTAACTCATACTTGAGGTCTGAATTTGAGATATTTTGAGTTAGAAACCTGGCTCTTGATTGAACAAATACATAATGTGTAATGTACTAATTAACTTAGGGAATAGGTTGTTACCTCAAGTATTTACATTACATGAGCAATTCTTTTAGAATCTTCTGTTTTAGTGAATTTCTTATATGGGTACATTTTAGTTGGTGTTTATACAACTTTCCTTTTCTTTTTCAGAGCTCAAAGATTGAATCTTCTAGGGACAGTCCTGTCACTCCTCCACTCAGCAAAGAGCGTGCACCCCGTCATTTTCACCACCCAATGGGGATGGGCTATTCGTCCTCAGATTCACTGGATCACCACCAAATGCAACCTCATCCTTGCTATGAAACAAGTGGTCTAGCGTCAACACCAAAGCTTTCCAACATTGGCGCACCAAAGACTGAAAGATCATCCATTGATGGTTCGGTAAGGACAAGTTCATCAGGAGAGGAAGATCACTCGGGTGAGCTTTCAATCAGCAATGCCAGTGATATGGAAACTGAATGGGTTGAACAGGATGAACCAGGAGTATACATCACTATCAGAGCACTGCCTGGTGGAACCAGGGAACTCAGGCGAGTCCGGTTCAGGTATACATAAATCATTAGTGTGGAAGATAAAATCCTTTTAATGTGACAACTTCTGAATTCTTTTTTGATAATTGTCTTCACTGGTGAATGTTCCCTCTTAACCAAGTTGTATTGTGTGAACAGAATATTTTGGTGATTTAGCTTACATTTAGTAATTTGATTCTATGATCTATTTTTGTTATGCATTAAACCTTGTGAATAGAATAAAAAATTAAACCAGTTTTGGATGTAGCTCCTTAGCCGACCTCACTTAGTGAGACAAGGATTGGATGATGTTGTTGTTATTTGGACTTTTTTTTTTTTTATCTTATTGATGACTTAAGGCTTAACAGCTAGATTGCTTAGGTATCAAGTTTGATTTTATCATGAATAATCACATTAATTTAAATTGACAATTTTCTTTTTCAATTTTTTACACAGCCGAGAAAAGTTTGGAGAAATGCATGCCAGATTGTGGTGGGAAGAAAACCGTGCTAGGATACAAGAACAATACTTGTGATTGTGACTATAGAAGAGCCTTTACACAGACAACTGCTTCTGCAGGCTAACACAGTACAACATGAAAGCTTTACAACAGTATTGTGCATTCTAGATCCAGTTACCTTCTATCCAGTGGATAATTTGCAAGTAACTTCAACTTACGACTTTGTAGTTCACTTTAGCCGTGGAGAAACGCATATGTTGGGAAACATTAGACTGTGATAGTGAAATTTTAGTTTTATTTAAAACTTGTTCATGCCAATGTCATGCAGTGGGAATTGTCAAATGTTTTCAATCTTGTATGAATTTTGGACTACTCCAATTCCAATTGAGATAACACGTTTGGTTCTGTCAAAATGGTTAAACTGATAATAGGACAAAAAAGTACCTGGTTTTTTAAAAGCACTAGAAAATAAAGTACCTGATTTTTTTAAAAGCACTAGAAAACGTCTAACGGTTTCTATAAAAGGTCAAGAGTTTCAGACAGTATATCAATAGCACACACAAGAAAGATGGAGGGCATTTCATGGCTATCGTGATGATAGGACAAAAAAGGTAGGTAGTGCGTAATATAATCGAATTAACCTTTAAGAGCCAAACATGTTATGACTATAGTAAAGAAACTATCATAAGTATCAATCTTTGAAATTGTTCCTACCTTTCTTTTTCACTATCTTGAGCATTAAAATAAAGTCTTTTGTGGCAACTAGAAGGAGCCCTCGGAGCAATCAACGATGCCATTTATAAGAATTTGACAAACTTTTTTGCACTACCTATATCGTAAGTTGGTTACTCTTAGGAATCAAAGTGGAGCACTAAATGACCCAAAAAATGATTAGTTACAGCTTCAGCTAATAGTAACATAATGAGTTCAACTGAAAAGCTAATAACAAAAAGTAATTATAACTCTCCGTCTAGTAACCTTTTTAGTTAACAGTGCATGAACTATGTTAGTGACAATAAGATGAAATTAGGCTCAATAGTTCACAAATAAGCATGTGGAAGACTTGCTCCTCTCAAAGGGAAATGCCATTGCTCTGCCATCTCTAGCATGACAGAGACATGAACAATAAGCATCACCATCCATGAGTATGAAAGAAACATGAGATACATTGTATTGGAAGAGGAATGCTAATAACTCATACTTTTGAACACAATCTTTTTTAATACACTTTATTGGTCTATTTTACAAAAATGTTAAAACAATATTTAAAAAGTGATGATTTTTTGAGGTAAGTACTTTGATTTTCTAATAAAAAAATATTTTCAAGAGTGTGTTGCTAACATTTTTCTTTCTCAAAATTGACAATTTGAGGAAATAAATTAGCAACTTCAAGTTGTAGTTTTGTTGAAGTATCATGACTTTCGCACACAAGGAAAAATTAATTATATCCCTTTAAGTATTTGTTTGGAAACACATATTAAAAAAACTATAAACTTGGATTCAATGTTAACATAAAGATAATTTGTACTTAATTTTAAATGCACTCTAACACTTGGTCCTCGAATCATATAAAAAAGTGATAAAAAAAACCCTAAATAAAGCAACACATCAAATCAAATAAAATGAGTAAATATCAGCCTTGTAGAGTGAAAATCATGAATTTTGGGTCCAGTTAATTTTCAGTCCAATTTTCACAACAGAATCCCCAAAAAAGAGTGTTAATTTAGGCCAACTTGATCATATCAGCTAGCATAAGTCAACAAAATTTTTGACAGAGTTGGATTCGGCCTATTAAGATTGTGGGATGAATATTTGCTATCTCGATCCACCCCATTTCGAGTTGTAAACTAAATGCCCAATCCATAAGCTTTTCGTTTCGTTTTTCTTTAAAACTCCATCATAACCTTATCATTAATTTAATAATTAATATGCATATAAAATCTTCAAAAAGTATGTAACACATTATAAGTTAAAAATAGTTTATATTATCAAATTTTAAAAAATAAAAGAACTTTAAATTTTTTTATTTATATTATATTCCAAATTTGCTATAATTTATTTTTAAAAACTAAAAACTATTTTTAAAAAGTAAATCAAACATACTCTTAGAATTTGTTTATTTTCGATTTTTAAAACAGTGTTTTCTTTTTTTAAAAAAATAAATAAATCATGTTTATTAAATAATATTTATTTTTAAATATAATATTTAAAAATTAAAATTCAAAACAGAAATAAACAAGCCTTTATTTTTTATACAGATTTTATTTATAAAATTTTTTAGAAGTTTATTCCAAACTGATCTAACTTGGAGTTCTGAAAGACTTTACAAATATTATATGTTGAACTATTTAAATTGCTCACTATATTTTAGTTATTTTAACATTTCTAAATTCAAAAAAGAAAATACTAACAAAATAATTTTTAACACGTATTTTAAAATTAATTTTTGTTATTAATTAAAATTTATAAAAATTATAAGATATATTCACCTCCTGCTTTAAAAAAATTTATTTATGTTGTTAAAGTCTTTAATAAATAAATAAATAAATATTCATAAATATATTACATAATATTTTCTTAATATTCTTCTAAAAAAATATTACATCTCAACTTTGAATTCTTGTAATAATTTTAAAAAATTTAAGATTTTAATGTTATACGGAGAATTCATACATGCTTAGGAATATTTTACTTTTTTGTGGCAGGTCATTAGAGACAATTTAAATAAGATTATTATAAATAGGAAAAATCTTTTTTTTAAACATTTAATATAAATATTTAAAACTAAATTTAAAATCACAATATTAAACTGTTTTTAAAATCTCTTAAAAATTAATTAAAAAACATTTCATCAAAGCAATCTAAGTTTATTCAAATATATATGTATATTAACCCATTTAAAATTACTGGAATGATATATGAGTGATTAATTACTAACTTAAATAAAAAAACGTTGACGTCACGGTAGTATTTAAAGTCAGGAATGTTGATAGCATATATTTTTTTATTTTATAATTATACGATACCCAATTGTTTTTTTTTCCCCCTTAAATAATGTATTTATATCATCTGGTTCTATGCATTAAATGCAAGTTTTCATTTTAAATATAATATTATTTTTATAAATGATGTTAAAAGAGCCACAGTTTTCTTATTACACTATCTGATATTATACTTTCGTAAAATTTAATTTTCAGTTTTAAAAAATATTTTTTTAATATAATGAAAACTATTCATTTTGAAGTTTATAACATTTTATAAATTTAGAAGTCACAATATAATTTATTTATTTTAATTTAATAGTATTCATATACTACACAAAAATCCATTAATTTAACTGAGTGAAAATACAACATTATTAAATAATAAAAATATAAACCGTATTGAACAGTGTTCTTCACATCTAAATTAAGGAATCAATTTACATGTCTCGTTATTTATTATCTATTTCATTAAATAAAAAATAACGCATTAAAAAAAAAACTAATAACTTTAAAGAGAATAATGTGGTTTTTAAAAATGAGAAAAATTAATAATTTATAATTTATTCATTTAAAGGCACACATGTCACATAAAGAGAATGACATGTAACTATAAATTGAATAATATATTAAATTAATTTATAAAATTATATATATGTTTTAATTTTAAAATGATAAAATAATAATAGTTTTAATCACCAAATCACAAGAAAAAAATGTAATAATTTAAAATTAAAATAAACATTATCATTTAAAAAATAATTAACTAATATTTAAAATTTCAATGCCCAATTTATGTATATTTATTCTAATTATAATAAATAAATAAATAAATTATAAAATAAAAAATACTAACTATATGTCATAAATATTGACTATATTTAAAAATATTTACAGTACATTAAATGCTCAGAATAATAACTTATAAATTAATAAATAAATACATCTACAGGGATGAACAATAAGTAAACATATTATTAATATAAACCTTAAAATAACAAATATAAATAAATTTAACATTTAACATATTTAAAAATAAAAATTTAATTTTTATCATCTAAACAAAATAGTATTCATAATTATTTTACATAGTAAATAATATTAATTTTGTGTTGATAAATTTATAACGGGGAAATTGATACCTAATGAATAGCCACGTGTTGGTTTTACATTATTGGTAAATGAATCCTAATCCCTAATGATTTGCAATATTTAGTTCAACAGAGGGGCAAAATGGTAGTTTAGGGTGAAACAGTAGACTATACACTGAGACCAAGCTAGGGCACATGCAAATACAATCTAAGATTTAAGAAAAATTTTTCCCTCAAAACCAAAAGTCATTGTCAAACGTTTTCAAAACCCTCACTCTGTCTCTCAAAGCCGCTTCGTTCATTCCCTATTTTTTTTCTCTTCTTCCCTACCCACCCACCTCTTCTTCTTCGCTCAAACATCATCAAGTTTTGTTTTTTCACCTTCGCTTTTGTGTTTTCTCTTGTGGGTATCGTTCGCTTTTGGGTGCAATGGTCCCTGGTTCCAGAACCGAAGGTGGCACTAGTACCCACTTGCTTTCTGCTAGAGTTCGCAAAACCATTCAATCCATCAAGGAAATCGTTGGGAATCATTCTGATGCTGATATATATGTTGCCCTTAAAGAAACCAACATGGATCCTAACGAAACCGCTCAGAAATTGCTCAACCAAGGTGGTGGACCTAACTGTTTCTCTTCAACCCTATTTTTGTTTTTTCAATCGTGTTGGTTTGTTTCTCGATTTTTGATTAATGGGGTTCTTTTTTTTTGCTCTTGTTTTTCGTTTCTGCTTTTGGGGCTTTTTTGGGTTGGTGCAAAATGTTTCGCGGGGTTTGTTGTGTTGGTGTGATTCGAATGTGGGCTGCATTTTGGTGTTTGATTTGCCAGTGTGAGAATACTGATTTCTAGAGCTTGCAATGGGTTTTCTCGGTTTGATTTTTGTGGTGGGGGACTAGGTTGAGCCTCTTGGTGGTGCTGGTGCAGCTTAGGTTGGTTTGAAAAATCCTACGCTAATTTTATTGACTATTTTTTTGGTTCTATGATTGCATTTGTTCATGTTTATTTTTTTGGTTCTGCTTTCTTTACTTAGGTTCGGAGCTGAAACTGGCAAATGCGGTTTTGAGTTTATCGCCGTTGTAATTTTTTTTGAGCTGGTTAATACTGACTAATTTGTGCTTGTACCATCAGAGTGAAATTTTAGCGCAATTATTTTAGATTGTATCCGTGTACTGAACATAATTCCCCTTGTATTTTTGTATTTTATCTGAGAATTTAGGGGGAAATGATACAATTGAAATAATTTGTCAATATGATATTCCATCTGTCTCCTTGTGTTGCTGCCGACTCCGCCTTTGGGGTAAAGTTAGTTCCACATAGTTGCATTTTGTGACTATGCCCTCCTGCATTCTGTGAAAAGAGGAGGACTAGAAATGATAGTTAATATTCTATGGCATGATCAGAGGGCCTGAAACACAGTTCAGCGGGGTGATATTTGATTAGTCTAAACCAGTTTACACAGTGAATTCATAAAAGCTTGGTGTCTATATTGATGCCTACTTTTATTATTGTTTTTGGCATCTGGATTGAAATATGTAATGCAAATCATGTTTTATCTTTCTCAATCGTTCTATTGATCTTGAGTCAAAATGTCAAATGGGGTTGTTTGGTGATGAATATTTTGTTCAATTAATGTGCTTAAATAGTTATTGCATGAATGTCAGTGCCCATTGATGTGCAATGCCATAATTAGGTGGTGTAAATTAGGATGTGTTTGTGACTCTTATTTTATCAAAGTTTGAACCATGTGTGTGATTTTGCAATTTGACGCTTGTTTTCTTTTGTCAGATTGTTTGTCCAACTCTGGCTGTGGTTTGATAATGTCCCAACTTAAGTATTACCTTGAAGGAAAATTTAACATCAAAATTATGTTCTTCTAATGTTGTTTGTGGTTTTATTATTCAGATCCATTCCATGAAGTGAAGAGAAGGAGAGATCGAAAGAAGGAGACAACGGTTCATGTATACTTCTTTACACAGCTCATTAAATTCATACTAACAGCATAACCATTAATAAGTAGCAGTTTTATTATCAGTAGTATATTAACATGCATCTTTTATTGCAGACTCAGAATGTTGGGAACAAGGGTTCAGCTGACCCACAAAGGAGGCATGCTGAGAATGGTGGTCAGACAATGAAATTTCATACTCCTTCTGACCGTAATGTTCAAAGAACGAACTATTCTTGGAGTACTGTACCTGGTAATATTCTTATGTTGTGCCTGTTTTGAGGGTTAAAAGTGTGATGCGCTGATCTTTAACTTCTTCCTAACTATTCAGGCATCAGCAGAGAATTCCGTGTGGTTAGAGACAACAGAGTAAATCATATATATAAAGAAGTAAAGCCTCCTTCGCTGCAGAACTCAACATCTGCCAATGAACAGTTAATTGTAAACACATCTGAAAAAGGGTATGTTGTTAATCTTAGCTTCTATGGATTTAGCAAGCATGGTTGATTGCACTTTGTATATCCAGTGTCAGTAGTTGTCCCCATATGCGCATCCCTGGCCTGCTAGCCTAACAAACACATTTGGGTTATGTTAAATTGTTCAGAGGCAGAAGTGCTTCTGTGGTAGAGTTAATAAAAAGCGTGCACACCTTTATTGTGAAAACAATTTTAACAGGAGAAGATTACTTAACTAATAGATGTGATGTCAATTATTTAAACCCAGGTTATTATACATGCAAACTGAAAGCTTTTGTCTCATGCTAGTTATGCTGTTACACAGGAAGAGGAAGTTGAGAGTTTATGTAGGCTAGAAGGGTTTAGAAATGCATCAAATGATGAGAAATAATAAAATAATCAGGATAAGAATAATAATATATTAAATTGAATATTGTTATTATAGTTGTCAATAGTGCATGATAGCGGTGGTGCGTGGCAGAGCGGCCTTTAGCCGCTACAGATCTGGCATAGCAGAGCATTTTTTCTGTCGCAGCCATTGCGACCATCACAACTGTATTTGTGGCCTAAAATGCGACTTTCTCAGTGCTACTGTGCCACCACAGGGAAAGATATTAACTTTCCTTTTCTACCCTCAGAACGAAGGAATTTTAGGGTTTTTTAAGGGTAAAAAGGACTTTTAATCTTTTAGAAAGCTAGTTTTTCCTCTTTGCCCTTATGATGGCACAATCTTTAGGTTTTTTTAAGGGTAAAATAGTCTTCTTAGTTTTCAGACCTAACCTCACTTTTCCCTGAGTTTTTCTTCTTCCTTTCTCTCTTTGACATCTCTGTTCTGCTTTGCAACAATCTCCAATCCAGCAGAGTGACTCATAACTGAAACAAAGTGAGTGTAGCTTTGTTTTCTCTGTAAAAAAGAAAGTGGAATGTTTCTATTCTGTATGCAGATCAGGTAGCAATAAAGGTTTTGGCTGATGGAATAAAAGCGGTCTGGGTTCAGTGGTGCTACCCTTCTTTGATTTGACTAATGCAATTGACCTTCAAAGTTATTTTTACATAGTTATTGGGTAATTGAATTTTGTATATGATTTACATGCTATCTTTGTTACAGCTCATCATCAGCTTCCAACAATCAAAGGTCAGCTGGTGCAAGGAATTCATCTCAGGTTCTAAATGGTCCTTCTGATTCACATGCTAGATACTCAAAGGATGCTGTTTCAAATGTCACTGACAGAAAAGTTGCATCTGAGGATAAGCAAGGCATGATTTTGAATGCAGCAGCACGGGTGCAACCAATTAAGCCTAATAGCACCCATCAAAGTTCTGCGTCAATGGCATCAACCAGTTCTGCTGTTGGGGTGTATTCCTCTTCAACAGATCCAGTTCATGTGCCCTCACCTGATTCTAGATCATCAGGTGTTGTTGGAGCAATTAGGCGTGAAGTTGGGGTTGTAGGTGTTCGGCGACAATCTTCAGACAACAAAGTAAAACAATCATTTGTTCCTAGTAGTTCTTATACCAATTCTCTTGTGGGAAAAGATGGTACATCTGCAGAATCACTTCAATCAGTTGGTGCTGTCTCAAAGACCGAACAATTTAGTCAAACTGATGTATCTGAGCCTCCATTATCTGCTACGCCAGTTAGCAGACCGTCCTTGAACAGCCAGTATAATAGTAGGGCACATCAACAACTTGTGGGACATCAAAGAGGTATATCTATAAAATGACACCACCAAATTATCATTTCAATCCAATATTTCAAGAGTAGAACTATTGTAGCCTGCTCTTTGGTTGGGAAATGAAGCATTGTCGTTCAGTCAAACTCAAAATGAAGGTTTATCAGTTTATGTCATCAATCCAAAGCAATTGAATGGGAGAACTTATTGGCATTAGTTTAAGCCTTTTTTTTTTAAACTATTTCAGAGATCATTGCTTATTGAAATGTAGATAGTAACTCATTGATTGCTTTTCTCTTGGATTTTGATTTGAAGAAGACTACTAGCAACACACTTTCTAGCACAGTCTAGTTAACACCCTTCTAACTATTGGCTAAAATTTATTAAAAACTACAAAAATATGAGAGAAATATTAAATTAGGAGTGAGAAAGAGTGAGATTTACATGATTTTTGTAGTTTTCAATAAATTTTAGCTAATAGTTAAGAGTGTGTTAATAAAAGTGTATTGCTAGCATTCTTCTTTATTTGAATGCAGTGCTTACTTAATTTTTGGGAAGATTTTTTTAATTGTTAGCCATTTTTATCTATTTCTTGAAATTTGGTGCGTTTTGATGCAGTTTCCCAGCATAATAAAGAGTGGAAACCTAAGTCAAGCCAGAAGTCAAACAGTAACAATCCTGGAGTAATTGGAACCCCCAAAAAGGTTGCTTCTGCTTCACCTCCAGCAGAAAATTCTGGAGATATAGAATCAGATAGGGTGGAGCTTCAGGACAAAATTTCCCAAGTAAATGTTTATGAGAATCAAAATGTTATTATAGCACAGCATATACGAGTTCCAGAGACTGATCGCTGTCGCCTGACCTTTGGTACCATTGGGACTGAACTAGATTCTTCAAGGCTTCAATCTAAGTATCACTTAATTGGAGCTTCTGAAAAATCCAATGAGGAATTGACTTTGAGGTTGGCATTTGTGTTTTGTTTGTTTTTTTTAATTGTATGTTAATGAGTTAATGTTTGCCCAGATAGCTGATTCAGACCTAATATTATTGAATTTCTTTTAAGTTTTGTTATTATTTGGTTGTGATATTTTCATATGGTGTATAAAATATTTCAGTTGTGAACTCAATTTGTACTGTTTACTCGTATAATAAGCACATGATAGTTAGTCCACATTTTCCATAACCTAGATGTAATTTTATTTAACATTTGATGTCAGCTTGACAGTACCTGCTCCAGAGTTGTCCACTGATGATGTTTCTGGGAGCAAGCAGGTTGACTTGCGGGATGACCACATTAGAAGTTCTGGGTCAGACTCTCCAGCATCTGGTGCTGCTTCTGAACAACAATTGCCTGATAACAAAGATTCCTCAAGCGCTCAGAATCTGGACAATTATGCCAATATTGGATTGGTACGTGATAGTAGTCCATCTTATGCACCTTCAGAGTCACAGCAGCAAGATTCTCATGATATGCCGGGCTTTGCGGTGAGTGGTTTTTTTCCAATCTTACCATCCTAGTCTAATGTCATCGAAATGTTCTATATGGTATAAGCAAAGTTGCTAATGCCTCACAGTTGTCCATGGTAGTATGGAATGAGGGTTGCATAGCAAAATCTGGTCTGGTTTCAGTGATGTTCCTGTATGGTTTGATTGGCTTGTGCCATTGATCATATGTTATGTAAAATATGATTATGAACTATGTTGAAACTATAGATAGTTGCTAGTCAGGCACTGGTTGTGGCCAGAAAGGGTCAGATCTAGTGAGATATGACTGAAGCATGGTAGGTCATTCTGTGTATGATGTCTGCAAAGACGTTTCTTATGTCTTTTAATGTCCAGAAATTAATGTTGATGTTGGGAGGGACCATAGATGTATTTATTGTCAGTCATTTATTTTCTGGCAAAAGAAGAAATTAAATATTAAATTAGGAAAGAAATAATCATAAATATCAAGAAAATTGATGTAAAGTTTTGATTTAGTTAGTAAAAAAAATGAAAAATTATATATTGGTCTGGCCCAAAAAAGATGAATGTGGGAGATAGGAAATGAAAGAGTTCAGGAATTAAAAAAACTATAAAACTAGTATAAAAAATAAATTGATGCAAAGAAGTGGCCAATTTTGTGAATAAATTATTATATAATTGCAACATTTCTTTTAGAAAAGCTCTGAGATGGAAAATAGAAATGAAGAAATGGCAAATCAACAAGGCAAAATACATTAGATAAATTGAGTTAGTGAATGAAATGCGTAAGAAAACAATCTGTTTTATTCATTCGTCATACTTTTTGGACCATTTGACTGAATCTAAGTTTAAAAGAAAATTTCTCTCTTTTATATTGGCAGAATTCAATATTTAAGCAACTATTGCCTAATAATTATTGTGTTGGTGCAATTGTTGCATGATAGAATTGTCCTGTGCTTGTATCGGTTACACCATTTGTCTATGATTTGTACAATTATATGTTTAAAATTGAGTATTTTAAGCATCTTTGTTGCAATGTTAACATTTATTTTAGCTTTTATTTATTTTTTTAATACTTAAAAGGCACCTTTTTTTCCCATGAAAAACCATTTCTAAAATATTGGAGCTTGTTTAGGTAAGCTCTAAGTTTATCAAAATATGAGAAAAATTCAGATTTTGGATTTTTTTCTGAAGCTGCAGTTAGTAGCTTCTGAAAAAGTGAAGAGTGTTACATGAGGGAGAAAATGCATGAAAAACATGGAGAATCAATTATAGTTTCTTAGACAAAAATATCCCTACACAAATTCAAAATGGAAAGTTTAATCGAACTGGTTGTTTTTCCTTCACAAAAGTTTAACCTAAAAACTTCTTTATAAATCAAGACTTGATTGAAGGACGATGTGGGCGACGGAAATTTTCCCCTCTGCTGAGAATTGCTGAGCAGAGGAAAAACATATAATCATATGTGGAGAAAGAAGAAAGGTAAAATCGCGAGACTTCAAGGAGGAGGAAATGTCTAAAATGAAGCTTGCAGTGGAAAACTTTCAACCTGATCTTGAGCCAAGAAAGTGGCAGAATTTGTGGCTGAAGATCTTAGCACAGGGAAAAATGATTATATTGGGTTCAAATCACCAAAATATGGAGCAATTGTGGTTATGGAAGACAAACAGCTTAGAGTAACTAAGATACCTTAAACTAAGAATTAAAATGTTGATCATAGAAAATGTATCCCGAAATGTTTTTTGGAAAGTAATTTCTTATGTCTGTTATTGTAATTTAATAAAGAGAAGAGTGATTTTATGTTGTTATATCCAAACGATTAAACATTACTTTTTAGTGTTTAGAGTGATTTTTGTAATTGTATCTAAAAATAAAATACCTGCTTTTTTATCAATGTAATACTAGAAATTACATTTTTGTGCTATCTTGAAATCACATTTATCTTTAAAGCTTATTCAAATGAGCCCACAATGTCTGTTGCGTCTTATAAATAACCACATGAGATGTGATGGAATCTTAATTTATGTTTGGGAACTATTTGTTCTTAGGTGTTTTTTTCCCCAAAAACTATCCAAGGAAGCTGCAAATAAAAGGAAATATTTTTTTGAGAATAAGTTAATCTACACATACCTAGAGGCAAATTAAAAGTACATATTATGTATCATACTGCCTTGATAGAGGAAGTGCTTAATGCAACTTGATTCAAATAGTCTCAGCTCAGGGATTGACATGATAAAAACTGATGTTATTTCTTATTTTATGGTGAACGGTTGACAATCTTATACTGTTGTCTGACATTGATTCTGCCATCTTTTTATTCTAGACATTAATTGCATGTCAGTTTAACATTATATTTAATACATACCTGCTTTTTGTCTTATTGTCTTTCTGTTCTTACTTTTCAATTTCCAAGCAGGCATACGATCCTCCAGCTGGTTATGACATTCCTTATTTCAGACCCACAATTGATGAAACTGTTCGAGGGCAGGGTTTGTCGTCACCTCAGGAGGTATAATTAATTTTACACCAATAGAACTTCAGTCATTTAATTGCTTAATTATAATGGAATTTATGCATGCAAGGACACTTTTTTTGTTGATCTATGTGTATCCAAATTCCAATAGTGAGCATAAGAGTTTACTAATCTAGTCTTAATGAGTATTTCTTGTTTATCTGCTATCCATGTTTTGCAAAGTGATAGTAGTTTAACTAGACGAGATTTTTTTAGTAAACTTTACTAGCCCATTAAAACAGTCCGACTCAGTTTGACTCTTAATTTTGATTGAGAAAACAGCTTTTGATATTCTTTTAGACCTTTTCTGTTGATTGTCAGTTTTTTAAATATCATTTGGATGTTTCTGCTTTAGATTTTTTGTTGAGGGATAGAATATTTTCACATCATACAGGACACAATTCACTCTCTCCACTAGGGATGGAAATAGGTTAGGTTAGACTTTATATAAATAGGTTGGCTTATTACCTGTTATAGGCTTTTTATTAAGCCTAACTTGACCTTTTTAAAAGTCTAATTTGACTTATTAACCTTTTTAATAGTCTACTTCGTATCAAAACATTCAATAGGTTATTAAACTTTCTTATAAATAGACTATTAAATTATCTAAAATAGGTATATCTTTTAAAAATCATAAGGCTTATATCTAAATAAATTATTAAAACAAATGATATAATATAAATAAATGCGCAAGATTGTAAGAAGATGATGGATAAGATGAGACGAATTAGCGATAAACATAATTGAGACAGTGTAATATAAATCAGTGTTATACATATAAGATATGTAAAAAATTTCGGCAAGCAGGGCTCTCTCTTAAAGAGTATGTAGTAAAGACATTCTTCAATTCTAACGAAAAAGATTAGAGTTTTTAAGATTTTATTGTTTTAAAATTAATGGATTTAATATATTATTATATTATAATTTTTATATAAAATTATTTAATATATTATTATAAATTTTATAAATTTTAAATAGACTGTTCTAATAGGTCTAATGGGTTTTTTCTTAAATTCAAATCTAGCTTATTTAATTAATTGAGCTTTTTAAAAAAGCTTAAATTAAGCCTATTAATTAAATAGGCTAGACTTTAAAAAGGTTAGATTGTAGGTCTTTTGTCGGACGGTTTGGCGTATTTCCATCCCTACTCTTCATTTTAAAATGCAACACTAATTGTCAGTGTATTTTTGGTATTTTTCACCTTGAATAAGTTCATCATTTCTTACTTAACATAATATTTGAGTGCAGGCTTTGATCTCCCATGCAGCGAATAACACTCCTGCGTCCACAATTGCCATGGTGCAACAACAGCAACCTCCTGTGGCACAGATGTATCCACAAGTTCACGTTTCACATTTTGCTAATCTTATGCCATATCGTCAGTTTCTGTCCCCAGTCTATGTTCCACCAATGGCCATGCCTGGATATTCTGGTAATCCTCCCTATCCTCACCCAACAAATGGCAGCAGTTACCTGTTAATGCCTGGAGGTGGTGGTTCCCATCTTAATGCCAACAACCTCAAATATGGAGTTCAACAGTTCAAGCCTGTTCCTGCTGGGAGTCCTACAGGGTTTGGAAATTTTGCTAATCCAACTGGATATGCCATGATAACTCCTGGTGTGGTTGGGGGTGCAACGGCTCTAGAAGATTCATCTCGAGTCAAGTACAAAGATAATCTTTATGTGCCAAATCCTCAGGTAATGTGGTGCTGTTGTGTTGAGTAGAAGAAAATATTAGTTGAATTTCAGCAAAAGAAGCAACAAACAAGCTAATAAATTTTTATGATTTTTAAAAAATTTTAATCATTTCATTACTGTATTATTCCTATTATAGCAGTGGCTATTTTTTCATTTTCACCTTTTGTTATTAGCTAATTAATAACGTGAACCAAATAATCTTCCAAATTACTGTCCGATTCTCTTTCCTGTCTTGTTCTCAGGGTCATTCCTGAGGGGCAAATTCATTCCTTATGTGGATATTTTAGTCTTGACGATTACAACATTTATTCTGAAATCCCCGCTGTTAATATAGTTTTTCCGAGTGAATATGATTGGCAATTATGTGCGTGATTCTAGATAGCCTGTTTTGCTGGAATTGATATTTTTTCCATTTCTCCTTGTCTTTCCTAACTTAAGTTGTCTGGAAGGTGCCAAAGGTTCTAACACCCCCCTCCTCCCCAAGTATTGAGTGATATAAGTTGCAAGTTTCACGAGGAATGTAGTACACCCTGGCTCTAGTAGGAAATATAGTATTGTCATGAAAATTAATGTAAAGTATGATCCTCATGTCATAAATATCTCCTAATCTCTGTATATTTCAATGTCATCAATAAGATCATTTGTTGCTTCTTAAACAACCTTTTCCTTCGTGATTGCTTTCTATTACTTGACTAAAATTCAATGCCTCATTTGTTCTCCATTCACAGGCTGAGACATCAGAAATCTGGCTACAAAATCCAAGGGATCTTCCTGGCATGCAATCTACTCCATACTATAACATGCCGGGGCAAACGCCGCATGCAGCTTATATGCCTTCTCACACTGGTCATGCATCCTTCAATGCAGCTGCAGCTCAGTCTTCTCACATGCAATTCCCTGGTATGTATCATACTCCTCCACAACCAGCTGCCATTGCTAGTCCTCACCATTTAGGACCACCAGCAATTGGCAACAATGTTGGAGTTGGTGTAGCCGCAGCTACCCCTGGAGCACAGGTTGGTGCATATCAGCAGCCCCAATTGGGCCACATCAATTGGACAACAAATTTCTGAGCTGATAACCAGAAAAGAAAGTGAATTTAACCCCTATGTGTACAAGGGACTGAAGTAGATATAGAAAAATGGCAGTTTTCATTGTGAAATGAATTAACTCATCGTTTATTTTTTTTTTACAAATGCAATGAGGCATTAAATTTTCAATCTTCTCTGTTTGCAGCAGCTTTAGGAATTATTGAGTTTTAGCTTCAAAAGTTAAATCTCATCAGTGATTCCTAAATTCCTTTCAGATCATGCTGAAAAGCTTTTTCTGATAGGTCTATGGTGATAACAACCCCCATGTTACTTACAATAAAGCCTTCCTTCCAATTTTAAGTAAAATTAACCAGATAATCTCACGTAAACAACATTTGAAATTGGTGACTATTGTGTGAACATGATAAGTTGAAGTTACAGGTGGCAGTGACCTGTTTTGTGTTTGTGACGACTGAAGAAAAAGATATCAACTGTCCAAGAAAATGAGTTGCGTACTTCATTAGATAAAAAGATTTTAAAGTTACAATTGGTGATTATACAATTCAATGTCAGGATTGTAATTACAAAACATAAAAGTTGAAAGGTATTTTTTAAAATTTTCTAATGAATGATTATATTTTTACACTTTTTAACTGCACTCTTCACTGTAGAGGAATCAAACCCATCATCGGTACAATGTAATAAAATAATCATAAGCTTTATAATAAAATATTATTGTGGTAGTATGATGTTAAATTTAAAGGATATTTTTGTTGATATACACAAATGAGTTCGATTTTTCAACGCTAAAACATCGCAGTGTTACTCCTTTACTTAAGAGGTCAAAGCTACGTTTGAAATTACACTTGATCTTGCTCGAAAGTGTATTGAATATGATTTCACAGGTTTGAAGTCACTTTTTACCACAAACAAGGTTGAGTGGTTTCAATGAACAAACATGTTTTATAATTTTGTCTGTACCAAAGAAAAGATTAAATACATGGAAAATTATATTATTAATAAAATATTTTACTTTTAATAATTTTTTATTTCTTTTACATTTTTCCCTTTTCTTTTTATCGTAAAAAAATAAATATACAAATGCAATTTCTCATATATGGAATAACACAGTTATTATCTAATAAATCACAAGGTAATTGTAAAAATTATGTCTGCACGGATAGTCATTATAATTAGCAACATATAAGAGAGGTATAAAAGGCATGAAATCTCAAAAGCAAATATGGCGGTATGTCTTAACATATATATTTAGAATCTTGTTAAAATATTTATAAATCATAAATTCAGTGTAAAAATTCCAACTAACAACGTTAAAATACATGTAAAACTATAACTATTTAAACACAAATTCAAATATGCTGTTAAGCCCTTGAAAATTTAAATTTCCGATATGATGATGAATTTGATAACAAGGAATGAAAGGGCAAAAGGGTAGCTAGCTAGCACACCGAATCGAAGGAATGATTTAGAAAATTCGTTGTAGTGGCTGAACGTGCACTGGTCCTACTAACCAACCCTTGGGATGGGCACAAGAGGGTCTATAAAGAAAGGGTTGTCCCTATGAACACGGTTGTAGTGAGTAGTGACCCTGAGATTTCAGACTTTGAACAAAAGTGTTGATAATACAAAAAGAAAAGCTACAGCAATCCCAAGGAACAGCTACATACATTTTTAAAGTTAACCTTATTGCAACGGCAGACCTAAGCCAAGGTTCTGTCGTCCATCCACGCTCATCTAAAAGAGAAACAAAGCACTCCAAGCTCAAAAACCATTCTTGTTTTCGGTTTTTCTTCTTCTTTCCAGCTTTTTTCAAAAGGAGTGAGTGTGATTGAGAGTTAATTTATTTATTGCATAAAGTGTATATAAAGAGTTAATTAATTTAGATAGGTTTTAAAACAAGCATTTTAATTAAAAAAGTAAAATGAATTATTAGGGAAAGGAAATTAATCGATTTTCTTAGTGTGAGAGGAGTGAATTGAACAAACGTTTTCAACTAACTCACCTTTCAACTTGTCACTAAGCAGCCTAAAATTTACTAACACAAACCTATATCTCTAAATTTTAATTTGATTATTTAACTTTTACAGACTCTCCCTCCTTTTTTCTTCATTTTTCAAAAACCCTCTTTTTGAAACACGAGATTCTTACTCATGTCTCCTTCAAAAACTCCTACACCCTAATCTCCTTTGATTTCTACACATTTTAAAATTGAGAGCAGTCTTCGTAGATATCAGGATTCTCACTTTTACCAATCACTTACCACAGCTCCCTTGGGAATGAAAATAATAAAATGAAGTCAAATGTGCCAATCTCTATAGTAAGGACTACATTTCAACAAAAAGTAGGGTAAAATGGCATATAACTGAAGATGATCAACTGTTGCGTTATATGTATTGATGGGTTCTATTTTTGTATGATAATTTGAAAATCACATTAAACTTCGATCAGTCCAAGAGATGTGTGAAAACTACGTACCAACTAAATAGTACAGAAATCTGAGACGTGTTTCCACCCTTAAAATGAGTGATGACAGAGAGAAACAAGAAGATTAAAAAAAAGATGTGATAGAAAAAGAAGAGAAAGATAGAAGAGAAAAATAAAAAAATGAATGCAAGAGAAAGTTAATGTTAAAATGCAAATACTTTTGTATAAGAGAAAAAGAAAATTATTTCAGTGAATATAATCTTATTCTGCATGTCGTCATGGCTACAAGTATTATACAGTATTTTACGGCTTATTTTATAACGAAATAATTTAGTTATTAAGTCCACAATGGAGATTGCATTTTGGAAGCGCAAAATCGTCAACTTTCTCAGGTCAAAATTGACAATATATCTCACCTTCCAATATATCTCACCTTCCAATGAAAACTGAGCACCCACAGAATAGGGTTCCTAACCTAGTGTAATCATATAATCTCTTTTTCATTCACCTCTTCGCTTTTGCTTCCTAATAATCAGCAACTAATAAGTGTTTTGTCTCATAAGTATATTCTAATTATTTTGTTTGACTTAGATATATTAGTCGTAAGGTTTAATGAATATTAGAGCCTAAAAACAAGCGAAGTATGGATCTGTTAAGGTCCTTTCTCGCTCAAACGATCTTGTATATATTATACATACCAAAGTTTGATGAAGATAGCGAAAAAAAAATCCTTAGATTTAACTAACATTAATTTGTATAAACCTCTATAGTGGGTTAATAAATATCCAATAAGAAACAATATATGAAGCATGGAATTTTCAATGATTTTGAATCATGTTATATGAAAATCGTGCAGCAATAGTTAAACGGATAGGCATGAAGGCGCAGTCATGCTCGGTTTATCATAAGTGGTTTTATTGAGGAAACGATCAAAATGGGCCAAAGCAATATATGGTTTTGATTGAAGCTAAGGTTGTGGGGGTGACCCACGATTTGAAACGAAGTTAGAGAAGAAATGATGGAGGCATGGCCTGCCTTTGCAAAATGGCTACCAACCAACTTTGCAAAGTGTTTGTAGTGTGGAGAGGTGTCATGAGGCTGATGCATCTCTCTCTCTTTTTCAAAAAGGGAAAAGAATGATACGAATTTCACATCTCCATCTCGTGGAAACCACCTTTGTTCATAGTGTTTGTGGTAGACAAGTTGGTCTCATATCGTAGCAGTATTATACATGTCGAATCATGTAATCCCATACGTGGGTATATAGTTTCTTCTATATTATTTTTTTTTTCAGAAACTTCGTAAATGATTATCATATTTAAACCCTACAACTATCATATTGTAGCAAATTAAGAGTGTTTTATTTTTATGTTATAAAAAATTAAAGAAGAAGGGATGTTGCAACATTTTAAATCCGGGAAACATTTACCTCATCTCAAGAATAAGTGTATGGGTTCCAAGACTTGTTAGATGGGAAATTCTATCTTAATCAATAATTAATAGAGTATTTGACAATTCATTTTAATTGATGTATGTAATTTTGTTTATAAAATAAAAAAATTATACAAACATATTTTTATGTTCTTTTATATTTTTTAGTTAATTAAATAACTAATTTTATTATTATTTTTAATTTAATAAATGAATTTAAAATTTTTTAACTTTTAACTAATAATTTTCATAAAATTATTTTTTAACCTCTTTTAGGTGTTTTTTTTGTGTGTGTGTGTGTGTTATAGGACATATTTTTAATATATATATATATATATATATATATTAATACGATATATAATATCATTTATGATATTAATTTTTAATAACAGACCAATTATATTTTGTTACAATTTAACTTTGCAATTTTCAACTAATCAATGTATACAGACTAGGCATGAGTTAAGTTTAATTTTATAAGAAAATATTAAATATAGAAAAGAAATTAAATTACACAAATATAAATTGCAATCACTTTTATATTGTGAATAATTTAATATTGAATAAACTGTTGAACATAATATAACATTTATTTTACTAAATTTAACATGTAACAGTTTATCTTTTCCTATATTTAAGTGTGTTAGCAAGCCTACGAACTTTCATGTTATAATAATTTTTTCTATCTCACAGCCTCCTCCCGTTCTCCTTTTGCGTTTAAGAGACAAAGTGTGTTTAACGTGGGACTATTGGTTCCTTAAAAACAAAGATGTTTAAGACAACAGTTACTTCGGCATTATGCTAAAAACAAAAGTTTCGGAAAGGCAAAAAACAAACGCATTATGTGAAATGACTGCTTTCATATTGATGAACAATATTTGATATCGAATAGCACAGTAAAAATATGAAAGGTTATGAAATAAAAAGAAAATGTAACTTATTAATATACATGCAGAGTCTTTAAGTTGTGTTTGTATGTAATGTTATATGCAATACTTTTTTGATATAATATGCTGCACACGTTCTAAATTAATTGACGAATAAAAGTTTAGAAATATAACATCATCCTCTAGCTAGCATAATTATAACTTTATAACGGTTTAATACTATATCATGCCTAGTAGCTAGTAGTGGTGTGTCTATTCAAATGGGATGACATTCGTGGAAATTGAAGCGTACATCCATAAGGAATAAACTTTAATACGTTCTTAAGAAGGATGATGGCAATACAAACATGGGACACGATGCAAGTAACTTTTTCTTAATTGGGGGCTATATAGGCCATGTCAATGTGGCATATGACTGGGTTCTGGGTCCCCATTGGTCATTGGCAATGATCTAAATGGAATCTTAACCCTCACAATTACTTTCTTTTGTTAACCCCATTATGTGAAAGCAATCGTCAACCTTTCCCATAAGAATGCTTTAGATTCTCTATTATAGTAGCTAGCAAAATTAAATGAATGCATATTGATTTACTTTGAAAGTAAGATGAATAAATCTTTACTATGATACTGTGCGCGTTAAATATTTTAGGTGTACATATATTTTCTTTCTTGAAAAATTATTCTATTATAACTTCTCTCTCTATTATTTGTTATTTATGAGCTTAAATTTATTCTGTTAAGTAATATATTTTGCTTTATCAACAGAAGTCTGTGAAAAGTTGCCAGCCTTTACAAAATTCCCTTGGCATTATATTGCGAAAAATATGCTAAAGAAATTAAAGAAAACACCTGTCAATACGTTAAATTATTTTTCTTTTTCATTTGTATTAGTTGATGTTGTATTTACTCACTATTTTTAAGTAACTAATCTTCTTTATTAATTGATTTTTTTTAAGGTTCATATACATTATAAATCAGAGAGAAAAAAGAAAGAATACAACTTAAAACGTCATCTTGAATCAATTATATATATATATGAAGAAAACACTGTTGAGAAAGATTCGGGCTAAATGACTAATCATACTTAACAGACTAGTTTTTACTTAAAGAATGTAGAAAGTATACTCTGAGAAACAAGAAAGAGAGAGAGAGAGGAAGCAAAAAATAGAAAAATAGAAACATAGTTTTTTTTCTTCATAAAACTCATATTACTTAAAGTTTTAGACATTATAAAAGTAATAAGTGGAGCATGTTTGAAGCTAAATTTTGTTTGGAGAAAACGCCAAATTGAAGTGTTTAGCTAGATGATGAAAGTATGAGTGAAAATAATAGGTCTTACACAACAAGCATATTGCACTTCTATGTCGTTATCTAGAAAATGATATTGGAGATAATAATGAATGGCATATAATTCTCAAGCTGATCATACATGAAGAAGAGAAAGAAGCTTATTGTTTTTATCCCCTCAATTTTAACCCGTCCAAAAAGTAAACACTAATATTTGGCTCTTGAAAGTTGTACCATATATGAACTATTGTTTCACTTAAGCAAGATATCATTGGACTCTTCCTGAAAACCTAATTACTCACACTTGATTTGAACATCCTTCATTCTTAAGGATGGAATTTTGGACTGATTACTCATCAATTTCTCATAAATGGTTAATAGTAGAGTGTGCATACGAGTGACATGATAATAGAATCTCCAATTTGTTTTATATGATAAAATTGTTGTAATTTGAAAATCATTTTTCTAACTAGCCAAGTACTTCATACGTACTAAATTATTAATTTCTTACACATGAAACGTGAGAGTTGAGACTCGTGTATCATCATAACATCCCATGATTGTTATATGGGTTGTGTATTAGTTGCTTTTGTATAATTATAGAAGACACTTGGTGGATGTGTTATTATATTAGCAACCTAGCTGGTACGTTTCATTATGAAATATTTTCTTGTGGCTGAAGGGAGGGCAGAAAGAGAGAGAGAGCATGTGAGGCCAAAAGAGAATAGTAGAAGAACATATCAACACATACACACGTCGTTTTATTTGTTTTGGTGCCTTTTTCAAGCTTATCAACTTAATTAATCCCACTTTTCATCTCTTTCTAAATTCCCATTCTCTTGCTCTAATCCTTTTTTAGTGTTAATAAAATCTCTAAAGCCTTTCTTCTTCGTTTCACAATTGTTTCCTTCTCTTTCTCTTCATAAAGTTTAGGAGCCACGGGAGCAATGATTGTGCAAATAACCACACCATTTCTCCCACTAACTCTCTCTCTTCACTTGCATCCCTATAAGCCCCCACAAGTGTAGACACGTAGGTGAGGACTCGTATAAATTTGACAATTGAAAGGAGTGAACAACCATTTTTGTGTTTCTATTTCTTTTGCATTGTCAATCAAGTCAGCTTCCATAAATCACATGAACAACCATAGATTGCTATTGATCTTGCTTTTGTAATTCAGGCATACCAATTATTCTGTTAATTAAAGGTTTCGAACTGCATCCCTCTATGCCTCGCTAATGTATTTTTTCTAGTCACCCCAAAAATGACTTTTTGACAAATTTTTTATTTACTGATAGTTTAAGCTTAAACCGTTGTTCTATTTCTTAAAATCATACCACTTTTTAGCGTTTAGTTTGTCTTAGTTTTGAGCTAATTTTAAGTAACTAATAGTAGTAAATTTTTATTAGAAAATAAATTATTTATTATATTTTTGTATTTTCAATGTAATCAAAATATTTTTAATAAAAAATTATTATTTTTAAATGTTTAAATTTAATCCTAAATACTGAAATTAACAAAATTGTTATTTTAAAGATGGAAAGAGTTATGGAATACATGGTTAAGTCGAAGCAATAAAATTACTGCAAAGAAAAAAAAAAGTGTATTTCACACCAGCAACCACCTCAAAATAAAACAAAATAAAATATTAGTAGAAGATATACACCGATACCTCGGCAGTTCATTAAAATAGGGAAAAAGAGAACATTTTTAATTTGAAGATGTCACGGGCAATAGAATCCAGAAAAATAAATGAACTCCGAAAGCCCAAAGTTTAGTTCTGGAGCCGCATTAGTTGACTGTGCAAACAGGAGTATAATGGCAATGCCTCATAATACAGTATAATACCTTATGTTGGAAGTGCTCCACATGTTCATAGCTTTCATTTCCCATATCTAATCAAGAGTAAAAACACTACCCTTTTAATCATAAAAAGCACCAATTAAAGAAGAGGCAAGGGAGCATGGTAATAATCAAAGATTTTCCAGTGAAGTTAAAACTCCATTAAATGACATCTCTTATCATATATTGAATGGAGGAAACTACACAATTACACACATCTACATCCAGAGTAAGATAGACATCAATAAATTTATCTTGCAGGAGTGGAATCTTCTTTGCAGGATCATAACATCTAGGATCAATATCTGCTTTGCATGGTCCTACAAAACAATGCACTTCCCTTCTTTTCTTATATAAAGAAAAAGCAAGGATCTAATGTCAATTCATGTGATGAAGGGGGAAAATAACTTGGAAGAGAGAAAGAAGGGGAAGGTGAATTGAATAATCAAAGTATTAATTTTAAATAACTGAAATTCCACATCATTATTGACAGCCTGGCCAACCTTACTCCTTCCCCAACCCTTATAAGAGCATCCAAAAGAAACCACTCTCCAAAACTCTCTCTCTCTCTCTCTCTCTCTCTCTCCATCATCCTTTGTTTTCTCCTCACTTCTAAGGCGTGGAATTTGGCTTTCATTACTGTCTCTCTCTAAACCATCAAGCACTCATCAATACCCATGTCTGCTTCCTTTCTTCCTCTTTCCTCTTATGTCCTTCCACAGTGATTTCCAAACACAGCACTCTTACACAGTCCTTGTTTTGGAAATATAGCCATGGCTTTGTCCTTTCTCACAATCATTTCTTTCTCCTCATAATTCCCTCTCTCTCTCTCTCAGTCTACTAAAGTTTTTCACAGTAATACTATTTGAAGCAGACAACAAAGGCCAAGTAATTAATACCATCCAAAATCCCCTGTTTCCCTCATTTCTGTTTTTTCCTCTGTTCTTCTCTATATAAAAAAACAGAACCATCATCCCAATGGACAAGTGGGATAACAAACCCTTAAGAAAACACCACCACAGAGAAAACCCATCTTTCTCTTCCAGTCTCCTCGATGTAATCTACCGTTCCATCGACGAACACGCGGAAGAGAAGGTAGAAGAAGACCAACTCATCTTCTACAAAGAAACCATGAGGAAACAGAAACAGAGCAACTGTTTCAGAGAAGAACCTGAAGCTGAAAAACTCAACTCTCGCAGGGCCAGAAAGGTGGAGAATTGGATTGAAAAGAGGTCCACAGAGAAAGTTTTAATGGGAAGGAACTCATTGACAGAGTTTGAAAGAAGAACACGAAGCAATTCAAACACACTCTCCATGTATTCAAGCTCAACCTCCTCTGAGTCAAGTTCTGTTGGTGGCTTTTCTTCATCAGAGTCAGAGTCCTTCTTTGGAGTGCAAAGGCCAAAGCCAATAAGAACAAGTGTTTCTGAAAAAACCAACTTTGATGCACTTCACAGTTACAAGAACCACTCTTCTCAAACCCAAAAACCAAAGCATGAAAATGGGTTTGGGAAAACCAAGTCCAAAGCCTTGAGAATCTTATATGGTGACTTGAAGAAAGCAAAGCAACCCATTTCACCAGGTGCAAGACTTGCAAGCTTTCTCAATTCTCTCTTCACTTCAAGTGGGAGTGCAAAAAAGGCAAAAGTTTCAGCTTCTGTTGTGGCTGCAAGGCACGAGTCCAAATCAGCACAACCCAGTTCAACTTGTTCATCAGCATCTTCATTTTCAAGGTCTTGTTTGAGCAAAACCCCTTCTTCAAGATCAGGTGCTAAAAGGTCTGTGAGATTTTGCCCTGTGAGTGTGATAGTGGATGAAGATTGCAGGCCTTGTGGGCACAAGAATCTGCATGAGGGTGAAGAGGGTTTGGTGAAATCCTCTGTTTCTTATGGGAAGAATAGTAGTGAAGAACTTAGGTTGCATGTGATGCAAGAGAGTCGCAGGGTGGAGGAGTTAGCCAGAGATTTGTTGAAGAATTATCAGAAAAAGAATGAATTGGAGTTTGGTGATGTTATGCATTATGATGATGATGATGATGATGTGGCTAGTTGTTCAAGTTCTGATCTTTTTGAGTTGGATAATCTATCAGCAATTGGGATTGAGAGGTATAGGGAAGAGTTGCCTGTGTATGAAACTACCCATTTCAATACCAATCGCGCCATTGCCAATGGCTTCATTATGTAATTTTGAGGAAAAAAAAAAGTGGGGTTACTTCTTAATTAGAATTTAATGGTGTGGGGGTTTACATCAGATAATAAGATTTCTCCTTTTTCTTTAATCCAATTCCCTTTTCTTTCTCTATGATTTTTCTCCTTTTGTTATTAATTTTTCTTACTAGCATTTTTCATGGTTGTGTGTTTGATTTTATGGTTAAAGTGTGTCTCTCATGCAAAATCATTGAGCTAGAGAGAAGGTAACGTTTGCATTTGATGAGGATGTTTGCACAAGAAATGGCAAAAAGGAAAAAAAATAAAAAAGCAATTAAAGAGGGGGAAGAAGATGAAGATGAAGTTGAAAGCAAAGGCAGAATTTCTACACTTATTCATGGCCAGAGAAAAGCGGGCTTTTGCTTTCTCTCTCTTGTGGATGGGGGCCTCTTTTGCTTGAAATTAACACTATCCTCATGCAACTCATATGCGTGGGAGCAATAGTCAAAAAGTGACTATGTTAATCTAATGGCATCCTTTTCTTCCTTTTAAATTTTCGAAATTTATTTTACTTAATAATCATCTCAAACTTAATTTCTCAAATGAACTTTTTTTTTGGTAAAATTACTCGGTGGAAAATTTCAATTGAAACATTGCTAATTTTTAGAGGCAGCAAAAAAGAGGTCAAATGATGGGTTTAATGGAAAAAAGGGGTGGAGATATAAGGCATGGTCTCCAAAGATGTGGACAAAAGATCTCTTCTTGGATTCTCTAAAACCTTGATGTCAAATTGGTTGGCTTCCAAGCCAAGAGCTTGTCCCTGAATTATTTGAAAGGCTAATACAAATCACTGAATATTGCTAATGATCTCTTACCTTCCACCCCAAATCTCTCTATCATCTCAAGTCCTTTCTCTCTGTTTTTCTTATGTTTCATACATGTTTGCCTTTTACTTTTTTTTCTCATTTTTTGTCTCATTCTCTTCAATGAAATAGATCTTAAGTCAAATTTAATCCTTTTCCCTTTAAATGTTTCATGTTCATAAAAAACATTCTGTAGTTTCTATCCCAAAAAGACTACATATAATACATGAGGACAGAAAAAAAAAAACCAACTTTATGGGGATTCTCACATTATCTTGCATCTATTAAGGGAAACTCAAGATAAACAAACAAAAACGTTCAGATTCGAGTCCAAAATTGTCATTTACTTTTCTATAGGATAATTTTTCTTTATCCTTGTTTTTCTACAACCAAACGATTATGACATTCTTTCCTCTCTTTTTTTCTTCTTTTTTGCTCCTTACAAAAATTAGTATATCTCTTCCTTTATTCTTCAAATTAGCATAAAAAGCATCATCCAGCTGAACAATTTAGAAAACGAAACAATGCTAATAAAAAATTAGCAACAGAAACTTTGGAGGACCACTAAATCATAACAGTGTGATATGCTGATTAAGTTGAATGGCCTTAACTAACACATTTTTAAGGGAAAAATCTAAACTTTCAAAGCTAGCTAGCTTGCACTGTAGGAAAAGAAAAGGCTATGCTATGCTCTAAAGTGTCATAGGCGAAGAATGGCTTTGTAGGGCGTGGTGTAGTCGTGGACCTGTGATGCCCTAACCGCAAATGACAAAACATTAAGATATTGATTAGTGAAGGGAATTTGGCATGCAACTGTGTAATTATTGGATTAAAAAATCACTTTGTAATCTAATAAAAATGATTTGCTTCAAATTTAAACACCATAACTGTTACTGTTTTCATATGGTTGGTGAAGTGGGGAGTACAACAATGATAATATATACTGGATAGTGGGTGTGAAACCACCTACTCATCAAGTGTTGACGATTCCTTGGATTCCAAATAATTTTAATAATAACAACAACAATCGTCTTCCCTTAATTAAACTTAACTATGAACTTTCTTTTTTACTTTAAATGGAATTAAAACTACCTATTTGGTTTCTTGAGTTTTATCATGCATGAGAAGTTAATTTTCGCGCTGTTTGTAGAGAAGTCCTACCGTGATTTTGTTGATATCAGAAACTTGAAAAAGTGACGTAAGTGGGGGCATTATTTTCCTTCTATTTCTTTTTTCTTTTATAGATTATGATATGCTATTGTGATTTGGGTCAAGTTGATCAAGTTATTTATTTGTATGAAGTAGATTATTATTTAGGTTTTACTTTTCTTATTCATTCGATTATATCAACATGAAGATAGATGGATTTGGGTTGTAAATTAGGTGAGTTGGGTTAAGGTAAATCATAAAGATTATATAAAAGAGTATATATATTTGTCTAATGAGTGGTGGGTCGAAGTTCGTGAACGCTGTAAGTGGACATAATTGTGAGATTCTTGCTTTATTTTCTACTTAAAAAATTAGTTTAAAAACAGGATCTTTCAAAATGAGTAAATTTATATTAATATTTTATCTTAGCTTCACTTATCTCTTATATTGTATATATGTTGTGTCTGGCTCTTTCATTGCATTACTTTAAGATCTTGTGATCATGTTCAGTATTTAGTGATTGGCAAGACAATAAGGAAGTTGGATTTTGCCAAGTTACACATCAATAACCGACATGATTTTAGTGAAATCAACCCTTTCATCAAGAAAAAGGAAGAAAAAAAAGCTTGTATGTCAGAAAAGTAGCAAAACATAAAACTATATTAGTTTAATTTGAATGTTGTTGAAACTTAATACAGAACGGTGAAGACAAAAGAAAAACATATATGAAATTTAATCAAAGCACGCGCAAGAGGGAAAAGCAAAGGAAATCCTCAAATCCATATCCAAATAACAAAGCCTAAAATAATAGGGAAACAAAGAAAAGAGGATAGGTCTGAAAAACTGTTTAGTGATTTGCTAGGGGAGGGCAAAAAAAAAGAAGGCAAAAAAGATAATAGCCTTCTAAAAGAACAGAATCGTTATTTCTATAAATTTCTTTTTTACTTTTTCCTTTTTAATAAACTTTGGTAAAAAAAAAATATCAGTAAAAATTAATAACTTTGAACTGTTTATACACCTTGTGTCATCAAATTATCTCTTCTACAAACATTAAAACTTTAATAAAAGAATATTACTTATAGAGGGTTATATATAGGGAAATTATTTTATGTTTCAAATAAAGAATACGACAGCAATTTGGTTTGAGATGTTTCTGTATAAAAAACATTACGAATGTCTAAAGTATATGATGCAGAGTCATAACTATAAATAAAAAAAAAAATTCAAATAATTCGTTTATTTAGAATCTATTTAGTGAGCTTTTTCATTAGCAGTATTTCCTTTTTTATATTCCATTCCTGGTAGACAATAAAATTATGAGAAGCGCATATCAGCAGCATCTTTACAACTTTTCTGTTGTTGATGAGAATTTATTTCATGGAATTCATAATGAGAAGCGAAGTTTCCTGGATCCATTAATTAACCTACGCATGCATGCGTGTGTGTGCATACATACATATATGCAAGCATCATGTCTTTAAGAATATGTTACCAACAACCTTGCACCCCACATACATATATACACAGACCATTTCTTTGTCCAAAACCGTTTCTTGTCGCTCATTATTTTAGCAAACTTTTCAAATGATTTACACAAAATCCCGTAATTAATTATTTAAGTGATTAATTGAGTTCGAGAACATTTCCCATATTTCGACACCCGGTTAATCTTTGAAATGTAGAACAGATTAAAGTTATCCTTTATAATAGACCAAATCAACAATTCTCTCACCTTTGGTTTTCTCTCTTACAATGTTCTTATTGCTTTTTATTTTCTCTTCTTTATTTTCTTCTTGAATATTGACAATTAATCGGCTTGTCCAATATCAATGTGTGGGAAATTGGTGAAGGAGAGGCCGTGGGACCAGGGCGCACCCAAAATAACGATATATATTTTAAAAAATATATATATAGGTTGAGTTTCACTAATTCAAAGTTGTGTAACCTCTATACTATAACGAAAAAAATTATATACTTCGAGATGATAAGACTTTTCTTAATCCAAGTAATTAATGTCTGTTGAATGTTTTTATATATAGATAGATCCGACTATATCATTCATAATTTCACATATTTAGTAAGAATATTCATACACATTAATTTAATGGCTAGTATTTAACTAGGTAGGTGTACGAAAAAAGCACTCACTAGTCACTACATACAAATTGGATTCAGAACTTGAAAGCCAGCTTTAGGCCACATCACATAGACATAGTAACCTTCAACTTCTTTTTTGCTTTTCTTCCCTTTGCACCCACACGTGATGAATTGGTCCTACATGTCCCAGAACTGTTGCGCATGCACACGTGTGCCCTCACCTTCACTTATCCCTTTGAGACCTCTCTCTCTCTATCTGTCAAAGCAAAGCAAAGCAACACGGAAACATCAATGTATTATGTATATTGATTCATCACTCATTCTCATCCATACAAGCTCTCTTCTATAATTCATTCTTAATGCTTATTGCCGTATATATCTTTCAACACATATATAGATGGAACGATTTTAATTTTCATGTATGATTTTAAAAATTATATATCTCAAGAGTATAGTCATCTACACACACGTATACAAGTATGAACCACATTTAATTTAATTCAAGATTGATATTTACATTAATTCATTTAAGGGTGAAAGGGTTGTGTGTAGGGGTCCTTCAATTTGATAAGCGTTGCTTCCCTACTGCCTAGCAAGAAATACCACTCAAGTGGTGACACTTGTGTGGGATTCACACGTGTGGCTCCATCACCTTGTTTTTGTTTGGTGCCGCAAGTGCCTAATTTGACTTTGATGGTTGATGTGGAGGATGAAGGGTGTGTGTGGGGGTTTGGTTCTTTTGAATTTGGAATGGTATGTGTACAATTGGTAAAGTGAAAGCATCAGGGTTTTTGAAGAGGTGAAGGTAGCAGCTTTAGTAAAAGAAAGTAAAAGGGCAATGCAAGGGATCGTGGATTTGGATGTGTGATTCACTGTGTTTGTCTATACGGAAAATAGAAAAAAGAGAAAGTGAACAAAATTTTGGTGATCCCAAGAAGATTGCTTGTCTTGAAATACTTAATTGTTAGCAGCTTTAATT